TCCCTCATCCAGAAAGGGAAGTAAAGAACTGTCTGAAGAACGGATATCATCACCAGCAGCTGATGGTGGCTGGAAGTGATCTTCTAGCCATCAGCTATGACAAGCTGCATTCTGCCTTGCAATAAAAGCAATGAGACAAGGTCCCTTTTGTCTCAGGACAAGATCCAAGACAAAAGACTTGAGTGCTTTTAGGGTGGGTTGCCATTAATGATTTAAAATTCTTTTACAGATTTATGTGAAACATTAGTCTGCAGTAACAAGCTTTGATTTTCCCTGCATTTCTGCCTTCCTAAGAGAGTTCCTTTGAAGATCTGCTGAGCAAAGAGGTGCTGTCTTGTACAAAAGGAGCACAACCTTCACCTGAACGCACTTCGATGAGAAAATAAGCAGAGAGGTAATCCCAGACCTTCTCCTGTGGCAAGGCGTGGAAATAACTCACTACTCCGTCAGTTTAATATTATTTTGCCTCAATGTCCTGTAATTGTGAGCTGCTCGAAAGGCGATCAGCAAAGAAGGGCAAACATGTGCATGCAAGAATATTGAAAAAATTCAGTAAAAATTGAATTTATCTATAGTAGTTTTGATAAGTGAGACAGGTACTGATAGAGAGATGCCAGATACTCTCATGATTGCTCATAGGAGGGAATGAGTTTGTTTCTCTGCTGTTACTTGTCAAACACTCAAATATTACAAATGGCAAAAAGAAACTGTTCAGACTTTCTCATCCAAAACTGTGCTGTGCTTAATGCTTTCCAGCCAATGCCACTTGCCATGTTGCACTTTGGAGAATACACATGGAGATCAGCACTCTGTGGTGATGCTCCCGTCCAATAGCTGCAGTCTGGCCATGCAAACGGAGAGCTGCAAGCAGCCAGCTAAAGACTAGAATAGCCCATTTTAAGTGCCAAGCCTAGTTCCATCACCGCCCAAGCCAAAACCCCTTGTTGGGATGTTTCCTGTCTTAAGCCCATCGCTTGTTGCTGAAGGAGCGCCTGGTGGGTTGGAAGTCTCAGCCGTCAGTGCCTTGGTGGTGGAAACAAGGAGCAGGCAGGGAAAGAGGCTCTCGCAGGGCTTTCCATGAAGGCTGACATGATTTTAATGAACAAGTGCATTCCTCCATGCGTGCGCAGCTGGTAGCAGTACAGCAGAGCAAGCTAAGATTCCCACTTGGACCAACATGGCATTTCCAGCAGATTGAAGTCATGCCTGTCACAGCACGCATCCCAGTGGCAGCCACAGCTCTCTCCCAGGAGCTATCCCAAGCCCCTCGCATGAGAAGAAATTCCCAGGACAGGGCATCCCTTGGCTGTTGCAAACCAGGGGTCCTCCTTTGCATGGCCTAGGAACCCCAGCCCTGCCACTCCACCACACTGCCTGGAGTTTATGTACATCCAAAGGTTTTTATTTATTTATTATTATTATTAAATTAAAACCATTTGCTTGCTGTTTCCCACAGAGCAACATACTATCCATACCTGGAAGGACAGGTAGATTTGGACAAGGAGCACTTATCCATTTCTTTCCAGAGCACCAGGGAAGAAGTTTCTGACTCTTCTGCCAAAATTATTATTTGCCTCCCCATCCCTTTGCAAGGCAGCAAAGCAACACACAGAGGTCTTTGGAGCAGCCCCGGGAGGGCTTAAGAAAATCTCAGTCAACTCTGTCCGTCCATCTAAGAAACCCGAGCTGAAACACAGGTCTGGCCTCACTCAACCAGGCTCTGAAGTCCCCAGAGGGGGGCGAGGGGCATGTTGGCGCAACTGAACTAAAAAAGGCGCCAGCAAGAGGTCTGCACGCCACGCTGTCCCCCCTCTGCATGTGTGATTTATGCATGCACACACACACAAAAAAAGAGGCAGAGAGGAAAAACAGCTCTTGAGAACAAAACTTGCAGCAGATTCCACCACAATCATGACTACGTCAGCCCTTTGTAGCACCTCTAGGTGCAAAAAAAAAAAAAAAAAAAAAAAAAAAAAAAAAAAAAAAAGTCTAGAAAAGATGGAGGGATGGGAAGATGAACACAACCTTTCTCCACCTGCAGTGAAGAAGCATCCAAAGGAAGCAGCTATCTCTGCATCTGTACAAGAAAACCTGCCATCTATTTATTAAAAAAAGTCTCCAAGAAAAATCTACATTTTCGACTTAAGACAAATTTTACAAGAAACTAGTTTTCCATAGATGCATTTGGCATCCCCCAATCAGTGACTCATGTCAGATGCACAATATCTAGCTGCTTTTGGGCATAAGGGACCTCTTTGGCACCAGCTTGCCCAGTAATTACTGCAGCAATAGAAGTCACTACCAACCTGGACCCAGAGTACTTTTCCTGACATTTGCACCACCACATAGTGCTTATAGAGGATAAAAACAGTTGACCTGGATCTCCAAAAGTTTCAGACAACAACATGTTGCCCCTAGAAATTAAAATTGGTGGATGCCTGAGAAAACAAGGAAACCTGAACACAGACAAGATTTTTTTCCCCTTCTTACCTTCAGAACATGTTCCCTTCCAGTTCAGCTTGCCTCCAAGCGGGAACTCCAGTTACTGGGACTTTGGAAATGGCCCAGATCCATAAAACACTGCACCTGACCAAAGGCTGACCGCTTCTGGCAAACATCACCAGCCCCAGCAAAGCACCACCAGGCAGGCGTCAAGCTCCCCTGGCCAGAGCCAGGCAGCTAAAGCTCCAGCATTGCCTTTGGAGCAGCAGAAGATGCTGAACACCACAGAACCATCCCCTTCCTTAGAGGCTGCAGGCCCAAAAGAGGGGAGCATTAACAACCTTAATAACCTAATGACCTTAATTAACCTAACAACCACTTGGCACAGCTTCCTTCCTTCCCTCCCCCTCCCAGTAGTGACCCCTCCCTCCCACATCAGTAGTGAAAAATAAATAAAAGAAAAAGCCAGGCTTCATATTCTGGATGGATATTTATTTGCTTAACAGATTTTCTTCTTTTTTTTTTCTTCATTTTTCTTTTTTTGGTACAAAGCATCCAGGAAAGCTTTTACTTTTCTTTTTAAAAAATAAAAACTAGGTTTCTTTTAAAAAAAGACACATGAAAAGGAAAAAAAAAATCAATTATTTGCAATTGCTGTTTTTATTCTGCCTTCCCCACCCACTTACCCTCCCCCTGCCCTTTTAATTTGGACCAATTTTCATTTCCATATATATTTAATAAAATAAATAAAGGATTTTCTTTGTCGTGTATTGCAGTGCCATTTTTTTAAACAAAGGCTTCATGGCTCAACATTGCAAGGTAATAACAAACAAAAGGATTATACATTAAAATCCTCCCCCTCTCAAGACTCCCCCTAGCCCTCCCCTCCAAACCACGAAATAGAATACAATTCAAGTAGTCTTTTTTTTTTATGTTTTAAATGTATGGATATATAAGACAAAGCAAGTACAGAACTGGTTAACAGAGTGTCCCCATTTTATTAGCAAGTGAGAGTATATCATAGGGAGATGTAATTGATTCCCCCCTTTTACGGTTCCTAGACAGATAATATATATTATTTTTAAAACCAACCTATTTTACAGCCCACTGCCCGCCTCTCTGCTGGGGCCTTGAGCGAGAGCTTCGACTTTGCTCCCTCCGGCGCAGCAGCAGGGCTGAGGGCTGCCCGGCGCAGCGGCGCGCAAGCGAGCTGGCAGCGCCGGGGAGAAGCCGGGGAGGGTGACCCAGGCGGCGGTCCTGGGAGCCAGCGTGACCCGGAGGCGTTACGGGCACCCGTGCGCACCCTCGACACAGTTTGTCTTTAGAACAGTTCCCTTTTCATCTAAATATTTTTTGTTTTGTTTTTCTCTTTTTCTTAAAAAAAAAAAGGATGCGTATAGATGTATTTCTGTGTGTGCGTGCATCTGTGTACATGAGTGATAGCCAACGAGCTCATATGGTCATGACCAAGCTATATTTCAGAAGAGAAAAGAAACACATTTATCACACTTTTCCTAAAACGAAAAGCTAAAATTTCAAGTTCAGTATTCGCTATCTTGTCCTTCCCTCCCCACCCTCCCTTGCTATTTCTGTTTTTTTTCCCTTCCAACTTACTTTAGCACCATAACACATTTTAAACATTACAATCCCTCTTCAGATACTACACAAAATGTCCCATAAAAATAGTGCTTTTTTGCCAAAAAAGTTATATAATATATTATATATATAAATCAACTAAATCCGTGGCAAATGTGCAATGCAGACGCCTCCTCCATTTAAAGTGAGCATCAGCTCACTTTTTCTTTTTTTTTTCCCCTTTCCTTTTTCTTCTCTCTCTCTCTTTCTCTCTCTCTCTCATCTTCCTCCCCTTCTCACTTCATCGATGATTTTAAAAGGTGCAAGTCGATTTGGAATCTTGTAATTAAGCACACACAAACAACGCGGATGGATGGGCTCCTCGGAATTTCTTCTCAGTTACTTTGTTTTTTCTTAAAAGGTGCAAAAGAAAGTTATAAAAATAAGAAAAAAATATCAAAAAAATAAAATAAACTAAAAAGTGGGGGTGGGAATGAGGAAAAATACATATATATCCCTCAATGTTTCTCCCCATCATTTTTTCACTTTATTGTCCAGAAAGACACGGAATGGACTCTTCTTCTTGAAAAAAAAGAATAAAGTTTGACGTCGTATCCTTTCTTTTGTCTTCTGCTGTTGGCACCCAGGATGTTGTGTTATGCCCAACAGGAGAAAAAAAAACAAAAAAAAATACCAAAAACAAAGTTCAAGTGCCAAACTGTCCCTTTGAAGCACAGGCTTGAAAACACTGGGTACATGGGGGAAGAAAACAGGTCTGGGAAATGAAGCGCCCCTCCCGCCCCCCCCCAAAAAACAAAGATAACCCGGAAGGACGATGCCACAG